TCTATATCTATATCTATATCTATATCTATATCTATATCTATATCTATCTATCTATCTATGTATCTCTCTATATATATATCAAAAAATGGAGGGAATCACTTGGGCATCTGTTCCCACCAATGTCTTTTCTTGCATCTAAATTTTTTGTTTTGCACTTTTCAGAACCTGATTCCATCCATTTGTCAGATTTCCTAGTGATGAAATCCATTTAAAAAGAAAAGAGCAAAGTCCATCGTCCATAATAATTTCTTTTACTTAGGGAAGCATCAAATTGGCAAAGTCTGTTGTACTTCCGGATCTGACACAGCCCAGAATTACCCCCAATATTGAAAGTTAGAAACAGCCCCCCAAAATCACATTCCCCAATAGAAGTAAATCAATGTTTGCCTGATGTCATCAATCTCCACCTCCAAGTCTCAGCAGGGTCAGCTTTCGTTCCCACAGGAAGAAGAACCACCTAGCCTAAACAACTCTCTCTATCTCCACTCCTCCCACCTTAGGAATGTGGCAAGACTGAAACCCTTCCCCCCATAACCAGTAAGAAAAGGAATATATTATAAGGCTAAATAAAATGGTTACACAGATGTCAATTTCGGGCTTGCCACCATTTCCTTTCCGCCAGCCAAACATGCTAGAGAATTCCTGGAAGGCTGGCACTCAAACAAATCAGCCATCAACAGACACGTAGGGATAAATAGCATTTACACACCATTCAAAAGAGACAATAACACAAAAAACCAAAAGAAAACCAAAAGACTAAAACCCCTCCTTGCCAGTAACCAACACCCAGATAAGCACAGAATGTCACCGATATTAATACTAGACCAACAATCAGTCAATAAACAACAACTCAACGAAGAAGTCCCAACTTGAAGAAAGAATCACCGCAGTAAACAACAGCCTAAGCAAGGAATCACCAAGAAGATTCCTACTAATATTGGTAGAGCAAGCCACTAGCACCGTGATGGCGAACCTATGGCACGCATGCCACAGTTGGCACGTGGAGCTCTCTCTGTGGGCACGTGAGCCATCGCCCTCAACTCTGCCGTGCATGCGTGCGCTCCTCCTACTGGCCAGCTGGTCTTTGGGCCTCTGCCATACATGCCGGGGGAGGGGCACATGCGCAGGGGCTGCATGCGCGGGTGCTGCACATGCATGCACAGTTTGGGGTGCATGCATGTGGGGGCGGGGCACATGCCCGGGGGCAGGTCACATGTGTGGGGGACGTGCGCACATTGTATTTTGGGGATGTGCATGCATGCTTTGGGCATTCGGTGCCGAAAAGATTAGCCATCACTGCACTAGCATATAAAGACAGCAGAGCCCCACTGTCTTGTGGCACTGATGATGTTACATAGTTGGGTCATGAAATGTCTGCAAGAAAACAGGCCAAACTCAGAGAGCACCGAGAACCCCACAATCTTCTTCCTCCTCTTCCCCACACACCCAGAGGCGGGATTCAATTTTTTTAACAACTGGTACGGTGGGCATGGCTTAGTTGGTGGGTGTGGCTTGCTGGTCATGTGACTGGATGGGCGTGGCCAACTTGACATCACTCACATCAAGGGACACATCTCCTCGCCTGGACTCTCATGACTGTGGGGATGCTGCAACAGTCGTAAGTATGAAAAATGGTCATAAGTCACTTTTTTCAGTGCCACTGTAACTTTGAAAGGTCACCAGTTTTAGACCAAAACTCAAAACGGGGATGTAAATTCACGTTCGAATGTCAATCTTTCTAGCTAGCGAAGAAGACATTGCTGAATGTCTCTCATCTTGGTTCCTTGTCATTAAAAGCTTCTTTCTGGCGGCTCTGCTTCGTTATTCAATTATTTCTTCAAAGCGCTAACTCCGACTGGGGAGTATTTCCTCCCAACAGCAGTGTAAAAAGCTTAAAACAACCCTTCCCCTTTAAGAAAGTACCAACAAAGAAAGAAAAAAAACCTCCTTCTGAGACAGTAAGTCTAGGCATACTGCCAAAAATATAAGAAGGGTGGAAAAAGACAAAAGGAGATTTCTTCCAACAACCGGTTCTCCAAACTGCTTAGAAAGTTAACAACCGGTTCTAGCGAATGGGTGAGAACCTGTAGAATCCCATCCCTGCACAAACCCCTCTCCCTTTTAGCACTGATGATGTTACCTAGTTGGGTCATGGAACATCTGCAAGAAGACAACCAGGCTCTGAGAGCATCAAGGACCCTACAACTCTTCTTATGCACCAGAGGCAAACTCCTTGTGTGTCCAATAAAGAATTTGGCCGAAAAAGAATTATGTTCTGTGTCTTGGATGTACTGAAGAAATGATAGAACTTCTGAACCCTCTGAAAACCTTTTTTTCTTTGTTTTTGGCAGATAAAACAGTTGGTTCCCTAGAGATCCACACCCCTTCTGCGCAGGCCACGACATTCTTAATGATCCATTCGGAAAGCCAGTCCTATGTCCCCAGCGGGTTTCCGGTGTCCGACGAGAGACACCGTGAAGCAGATAATGGTGAGTATGGAGGTGCCACCAAGACTAAGGAGAACCTAGTGGAGCCCTCGTGCGAACGGGGGTCCAGGGAAGGAGTCCAAAAATATTAAAAGAGAAGCCAGATCCCAAACTCACCTCGCTGCACTGGAGTCACGTCGAAAACTCTTGCTTAGCCACTGATACTGAAAAAATGGCTGCATCTAGAGTGGGGACTTCTTGAAACTTGGGTGGTCCTCTTTTAAAGCCCCCCCCCCCAACAGCAGAATCATAACTGAATAAGTCATTTAAATGTCCATTCCCCTAAAATAGGGCTCTCCAAATTTGGCCTGGCTGGCGGAGGAATTCTGGGAGTTGAAGTGAAACCAGGCTTAACAGCAGGAACTGAGAGAGGGATCCTTGGAGCCTTAGTTTCTGGTTGTCTTAGTGGACAACCAGTTGTTAATTTCGTTGTATGTATACTGTGTATGTACTTTATTATTTATTGATTTGATTTGTCAATCACTTACAAGATAATAGGTATAAGTATAAATATGAGTAAGTGTTGTGGCTCCGAGTCCTGAGCCTGCATTCTTAGAGGAAGAGGATTCGGAAGATGAGGAGGAGGAGGAATTGGCAATGCCTTCCTCCCCAGGACCTTCCTCTTCGGCAATGCCTTCCTCCCTGATTGTGCCTCAGGTGTCGGCAGATAACCGAGAGGGACAGCCTGAGGCTAATCAGGAGGAGGGCATATCGGAGCAGGCTTTGACAGAGAATCAAGTAGACGAATGCTGGCTTGATGCGAGGCAGCGTCGCAGGCAAAAGTGTGAGCTGCAGCGCAGGAGGCGTGGACGAATGAGAGGGAGCTGAATTAGTGACACGCCCCACAGGGAATAAAAGTGGGTGTGTTTGCTCTGGGAACTTCGTACGGAACAACGTGTGATTTATTCAGAGGAGCTCCGGTGTATTCTGTGTTGGGACAGCTTGTGTGATTTATATTCCTGTTATCTTGTCGGACTTGGCAGACAGCGTGAGTGAGACTGCCAAGAACATTATCGGCTCAAGGAATTAACTCTATAATTACTGGATTTGCTTGCCTGTTTGTATTCAGTTTGGAGTTTGGACTTCTCACCTCCTTTGTAAAGGTGAGACATAACAAGTAAGAATACAGGAAATAAGTACGAATAAATGGGGACAATAGAACAGGGACGGTAGGCACGATGGTGCATGACAATAAATAATTCAATTAAATATGAGCCAACAGTGTGCAGCGGCAGCCAAAAAAGCCAGTGCAATGGTAAGTTGCATTAACAGAGGGATACAATCAAGATCAAGTGAGTTACTAATACCACTCTATAAAGCCTTAGTAAGACCACACCAAGAATAATGCTTTCAGTTTTGATCACCACCAGATGTTGAGTCTCTAGAAAAAGGGCAGAGAAGAGCAACCAGGATGAGGAGGAGACTGGAGACTAAAACAATTTGAAGACCAGTTGAAGGAACTGGGCCTGGCTAGTCTAGGGAAGAGAAGGACCAGGGGAGACATGATAGTAGTCTTGCAATATTTGAGGGGCTGCCCCAGAGAGGAGGAGGAAGGGGTCCAGCTATTCTCCAAAGCACCTGAAGGCCAGACAAGGAATAATGGATGAAGTTCTCTATTCTATTCTATCTTCTCCTCACCTTTTTCTCTCCAGAGACATATCCTCCACACCAAAAGCACCAGGAGAAGGCTACCAGTCCCCCGAATCTAGGTAAGAAACTGGATATTAAAAGTAAGAGAGATCTTGTGATGGTTGCAAGCATAGAAAGATTTTTTTTTTAAAAAAAGGGCCAATACTTTTGTAGGGATCTTCTTGAGAACTTCCCTCTTCAAGAGAAATCTATCTGGAAGGTTTAGAGGCAGATGTCCCTCTTTTCTAGGTGGCTTTGAATGATTGGAAGACACCAGACTTTTGATCTTACCTGGTCTAGTTTTCTGACTTGGAGGTGTCCCTTGACTACGTGGACAATGAGCCAGCCACAGAGGTCTTCTGCTTCCTGCTCTTCTCTTAGCCTCTTGAAAGCCAACTAAGCTTACAGTCCTTCACATCTTTAGAAGGCGGTTCCACAAGTAGTCCTCCATTTTGTATTGCATGACAAAGCAAATGGTGGCTTTGGGGTCTATCTACCAATCATCATCTTCATTTAACAACCCCATAATCCCTTGCGGGGTGGAGTCTGGGCAACTGAATGGAGCTAGCAATGTGTTTTAGTGGCCGGATGCCCTTCCTGTTGCCAATGCGGAGTTTTGTTCAGTGGATATACTCTCAGTGTGCCCAGAGAGAGAAATATACAATTTTACCTAGAATTGAACTCGCAGCCTCCTGACTGTGAGACAAGAGCTCCACCACACCACTCCTTTTTGTCCATCTACTGATGTGACACTAATTCTGTTGGAAATACAGAAATGCAGAATATTGTCTTTCAGCAAATCAGAAACCGTGCGCATTCCCACATCACATTATGCCCCCTTTTGTTTTAACTCTGGCTTATGAAAAAAAAAAAAAACAAGAACGCCTAGGTCAGTGGTGGGTAACCTTTTTTGTGCTCCTGTGCCAAACACTGTGGGCGTGCTTGCATGCTCGCACTTGCGTGCCAGCACCCAGAAGGCAATGCATGCCCCCCTACACCCCCTACGCATGCAAGCACAATCCCCACCCACCTCCACCGCCCCCTTACCCGCACTGTGCCTCATAGCTGATTTTTGGCTGGTTTGAGGTCTTTTTCGGCCTCCCAAAGGCTTGGGGAAGGCTTCTGCAGGCTTTGCAGGCCGAAAAGTAGGCCCGTTTTGACACTTCTGGTATTTCCAGAAAAACAAGAAGTGATGAAACAGGCCTAGTTTTCATCCCGAAAAGCCTCCAGAAGCCTTCGTCAAGCTTCTGGGAGGCCGAAAAAGGCCTCAAACCGGCCAAAAATCAGCTGTGAGGTGCATGCATATGCAGTGAGGTAATTTTGCCTGCAGCTTGTGTGCTGGCACAAGTGGCTCTGTGTGCCACCTGTGGCATGCGTGGCCATAGGTTTGCCACTACTGGCCTAGGTTCTTATCGCCTGTGAAGCCCTAACTCACAAATTATGCTATTTTCCAAAGATCACAGACCAGCAGATGATTCTGTGGGTCTTCAGAGGGGAAAATGTGGGACCGATGGTTGACACATGGTGTTTTTTTGTCTTCTTATCGTCCAGCTGGTAGACAGGGGTGGTCATTTTTAAATTGGCAAATGGGTCCCCAACCCTGCTGGTCCTTGGTAGCGTCTGATGACCATTGTTGGGGAAACTAAACATGTCCAAAGGGTGCAGAAGGATGGCTAGCAAAGAAAGGATGTAGGGACTCTGGAAAGAGGGCAGAGAAGAGCAACAAAGATAATTAGGGGACTGGAGGCTAAAACATATGAAGAACGGTTGCAGGAACTGGGTATGTCTAGTTTAACGAAAAGAAGGACTGATAGCAATGTTCCAATATTTGAGGGGCTGCCCCAAAGAAGTGGGGGTCAACCTATTCTCCAAAGCACCTGAAGGCAGGACAAGAAGCAACGTGTTCTGACCCACGATTCCCAAGATCACAAAGCAGATTCCTCGTCCCGATAAAAACCCCTTTATTTACATTAAAGGGAATTCCACTCCAGCAAAGTCCCGGCAAACGGTCTTTCATGAGATTTCACGATTACAGACCTTTATCAAGCTTTGAGAGTTGCCAGGCTGTTATCTCCCTAACGCCACACTGTAGCAGCAATTACTTGGAAAGAAGTCAGGAACAGATTTTCACTTTAATGAATTGAACTAATTGTCTCCTGCAAACACCAATCCCCTTCTGGGAGGGGCCATTCACTGTCCACCTGAGTCCTCACTCCCAAGTTGACCCTTGTTCCTTAACTGTTCCCCTCTTCTGGCAGCTCTGTGCATGTGCACACTGGGAACAGGCTCCAGCTATTCTTCTTCCCCAATGATCTCCGACTCCAAAGGCAGCTGATAACTGTCGGACAGCCCTGGCCCCATCTCTGCCTCATTCATCAGAGCCCTCACCAGACTCCAGGACTGGCCCGGGTTCCTCCCCAACCTCCTCACTGTCCGAGTCTGCCGCCAGCTTTGCTGGGGGCCCACAACACAATGGATAGAAACTAATGAAGGAGAGAAGCAACCTGGAATTAAGGAGGAACGTCCTGACAGTTAGAACAATTAACCAGTGGAACATCTTGCTTCCAGGAGATGTGGGTGCTCCATCCCTGGATGTTTTTAAGAAGAGATTAGAGGGCCATTTCTCTGGAATGGTATAGGCTCTCCTGCTTGAGCGTTGGGTTGGACTAGAAGATCTCCAAGGTCCCTCCCAACTCTGTTATTCTGTTCATGCTAAGGTCCTTACGAAGTTCTCCTCTGCAGGTCCCATCTGGAGAACAACCCTGCTTGTCCTGGGCCCTCTGGCCTTCATCCTGGCAATAATCATCCTGAAGTTCAACATCCAGTCCAAAAAGTAAGTGCTAGGCTGGGGCTCCGTGGGGTTGGGAGCAATTCTGTCAACTAAACAAAATACTCCTTTGGTCTTTTTAGTTGCCAGCAGAAAGGGAGTGGGGGAAAGCAGTGCATTCCTTAAATGCCTCAGATAATTGCTAGGCAGGCGAAGCTGTTGGCGTGCAAGATTATTACTGGAGAGCATGATTGATGACTCTTAGCTATGGAAGTGTCCCATTGGAGAATCTACATCCAGGGAATGGGGGGAAGACCAGGGTCGGTTGCACCCAAGTAATGTCGACATGGTCACTCCTAATAAATCAGTTTGTTTTTTTTTTACTCTGAGAGATGCGGCTAGAGACTTACGATTTGAATGGGGGTGGATTTGTCGGAGCGTTGACATTCTCATCCTTTCTTTGTGATATTTACCACCATAACGCAACTCTGCGTGATTCAAGCAGTCTGTTTCTTGTGGCCACAGGAAGAAGAACCTGCTAGCTTTGAAGAGCCGGCAGATGAGCGGTGAGGGACACCAACCTTCACCAGGGACAGTCAGCCCCGCCTCCAAGATGCAGGCCATCCCTGCCTCACCTTCCCCTTCGCTCAAGCATGGTGAGATCTTGATCGAATGGAAAGATGGAACTACCACCTCGCTCTTTGACCATTTATACTAGCTGATTTCTCCTGGCTGATTCTCTCAAAATCCAGTTCTTCCTAGCAGAACCCTTTGCACTCACACTTGAAGCTTCCATGGCCTGGGGCTGATGATGTAGTAGACCAGAGATCTCCAGACGTAGCAAGACTTGCGGACTTCAACTCCCAGAATTCTCCAGCCGGCATAGCTGGCTGGAGAATTCTGGGAGTTGAAGTCCATAAGTCTTAAAAGTGGCCAAGTTTGGGGACCCCTGTAGTAGACTAATACTCTCATTTTTTTAAAAAAAAAATAACAAGCAAGGAAGATGTGGTGACCTTCACACTTGCATTGTAGTTACTACCTGTATACGTTGATGACCAAACGAGGGCAGACCTGGGTAATTCTTGGATGAGACACCATTAGGACTTCCAAAACACATAAAGAACGGTTGCTGGAATTCGGATATGTCTAGTTTAATGAAGTTTAGTGTTTAATTTTTAGTTGAACGAAAGAGACGCAGTGGCTCAGGGGACTAAGGCGTTGAGCTTGTGGATCAGAAAAGGTCGGCAGTTCGAAACCCTACCGCCGTGTCACGGAGTGAGCTCCCCGTTCCTTATCCCAGCAGTTTCTGCCAACCTAGCGGTTCGAATGCATGTAAAAAATGCAAGTAGAAAAATAGGGACCCCTTTTGGTGGGGAGGGAACAGCGTTCCGTGTGCCTTCAAAGGCATTCAGTCATGCCGGCCACGTGGCCACGGAGACGTCTTCGGACAGCGCTGGCTCTTCTTTGGCTTTGTAGTGGAGATGAGCAGCGCCCCCTAGAGCCAGGAACAACTAGCACGGATGTGCCAAGGAAGGGAACCTTTACCTTTAGTTTATTGAAAAGGAGTAGGGGAAACATGATAGCAATCTTCCAATATTTGAGGGGTTATCACAAAAATGAGGGGATCCAACTGTTTTCCAAAGCACCTGAAGGCGGGACAAGAAGCAGTGGATGTAAGATGTATTATTGTAAGGTGATGACCAACAGGATGCTTGGTTTTAAATCTGTCTCGAAATAAAATAAAAAGCGTGTTTAAATAAAAGTCCCGTTTCTCAAAAAAGAGAAAGCCATTATAATCCGGCAGACTCGAACCTTTCAATAAATTGAACCTCCGAAACAGGGTGGAACCATTTTTTCTAGGTCCATCCCAAAAGCCCTTAAATGGTAAGCGGCCCGCGGGAGTCTCAGAAGGAGAGATGGACACGGAAATCTCCTCTCATTGACTCCATCTTATCCTGGAGCTTCTACCAACAGGGCACAAGTCCTTTGCGGGACCTTCTGCCCAGGTAGGACATAACCAAGACCTAGCAAATGGACAGAGCAAGAATCAGACTTGGTCTGTAAGAGTTTTGGGAGTGAACCCAGAAAGACTGTTTCTGTGTTGTTGTTAGTTGCGAAATCGTGTCCTACTCATCGTGTCCCTATGGACAACGTTCCTCCAGGCCTTCCCGTCCTCTACCATCTTCTGGAGTCCATTCAAGCTCATGCCAACTGACTCCATCCAGCCACTTCCTTCTTTGCCGTTCCCTTCTTCTTCTTTTGCTCTCAACCGTTCTCAGCATTAGGTTCTTCTCCAGTGAGTCCTTTCTTCCTTCCCATTAGGTGGCCAAAGTCTTTTGAGTTTCATCTTCAGCATTTCTGTTAGCATCCCTCCACATGGCACCTTCTAGAAGTATGCAGTAACACCCAGAATGTGGGGTCCTTGATGCTCTCAGAGCCTGGTTGTTTTATTGCAGATGTTTCATGACCCAACTAGGTAACATCATCAGAGCTAGAAGGGGGAAGAGGAGGAGGAGGAGGATTGTGGAGTTCTTGGTGCTCTCTTGAGCTTGGTTGTTTTCTTGAGAGACGTTTTGAGACCCAACTAGGTCACATCATCAATGCGAGGAGGGAACGAGTTTTGCAGAGTGGAGGTGAAGGTGGGAGGAGAGGAGGATGGAAAGGAGGACAACTGTGGGGTCTTTGGATGTTTTCTTGTAGGTGTTTCATTACCCAGGTAGGTAACATCATCAGTGCTAGAGGAGAATGGGGGTTACAGAGAGGAGGATTGTGGAGACCTTGGCGCTCTCTGAGCTGGGTTGTTTTTCTTCATGACCCAACTAGGGAACATCACCAATGCTACAAGGGAACGGGGTTTGCTCTCTTATTTATATACGGTAGCTTAATCCTGCATAAGCTGGGAGCAAAACTCCACCTCCCTAGCACGGATGACGTTACCCAATTGGATCGCGAAACGTCTGCAAGAAAAAGAACCAAGCTCGGATCTCTGGGAGTTGGAAGTCCCACCCACCTCGGAGGGGCCAAAGTTGAGAAAAGCTGCTGTTAAGACAGGAAAGGACAGCTGTTGCAACCTCTGCCCAAACATTCCCGAATCACACGAAAGGAAATTTATTCTTTGGAAGAGAGAAAGAGATGGGCCTCTCGGAGGGTGCTTTGCATGTCCTCGTATTCTGCCAGCCTGCAGGCCTCACTGAGGGTCAGCCAGCGGAAGGCCTGATGCTCGGAAGAAAGCTGGATCGCCGTATCCCGGTCCTTCAGCTCGGCCAACCAGTAGACCACCGTTTTGGGTTTGCCTCGGACCACGTAGTTCAGTTCCTTCTTGAAGCCCTCCAGGATGGTGAACTGGGAGGAGGCCAGGCCGGCCTCTTCCTGGGTCTCGCGCAGGGCGGTGCCCAGGTCATCTTCCCCGGGGTCTACGTGCCCTGATGAGAGAAGACAAAGCAGGGGGTTCAGAGCAGGCCAACCCCTCCCCTTCCCCACCTTCCTGTAAGATTCTAGAGCGGTGTGGTCCAAACTTGGCAAGATGGGTCGACTTCAACTCCCAGAATTCCCCAGCCGGCCTGCTTGCTTGATAGGCTGGGCGACTTCGGGCCAATCACCGGGAGATGGAGAGTTCTAGTCCTACCTTTGGCATGAAAGCCAGCTGGGTGACTTTGAACCAATCACCAGCAGACTGTGGGTTCTAGTCCTGCCTTAGGCATGAAAGCCAGCTGGGTGAACCAATCACCAGGAGATTGTGAGTTCTAGTCCTGCCCTTAGCATGAAAGGCAACTGGGTGACTGGGCCAAACACCAGGAGACCGTGAGTTCTAGTCTCACCTTTGGCACGAAAGCCAGCTGGGTGACTTTGAGCCAATCACCAGGAGACTGTGAGTTCTAGTCCTGCCCTTAGCATGAAAGGCAAGTGGGTGACTGGGCCAAACACCAGGAGGCCGTGAGTTCTAGTCTCACCTTTGGCATGAGAGTTAGCTGGATGACTGAGCCAATCACCAGGAGATGGAGAGTTCTAGTCCTGCCTTAGGCATGAAAGGCAGCTGGGTGACTTTGAACCAATTACTAGGAGATGAAGAGTTCTAGTCCTACCTTAGGCACAAAAGCCAGCTGGGCGATTTTGGGCAAATCACTAGATGGAGAGTTCTAGCCCTGCCTTTGGCATGAAAGCCACCTGGGTTATTTGGGGACAATCACTAGGAGATGGAGAGTTCTAGTCTCGCCTTTTGCACGAAAGCCAGCTGGGTGACTTTGGGCCAAACACCAGAAGCTGGAGAGTTCTAGTCCTGCCTTAGTCACAAAAGCCAGCTGGGTGACTTTGGGCCAATCTCCAGCAGACTGTGGGTTCTAGTCCTGCCTTAGGCATGAAAGCCAGCTGGGTGAACCAATCACCAGGAGACTGTGAGTTCTAGTCCTGCCCTCGGCATGAAAGGCATTGGGTGACTTTGGCCCAAATGCCAGGAGGCTGTGAGTTCTAGTCTCACCTTTGACATTAAAGCCAGATGGGCGATTTTGAGCCAGTCCTTCTCTCTCTCAGGTCAACCCACCTCACAGGGTAGGATAAACAGGAGGAAGAAGGATTAGATAGGTTGAGCTACCTATAAAATATATAGTAAAAGCGAAATAAAATCTAATAAATGATTAAACTTGAAGAGAGTAAATAGGATCCGTCTCCAGAGCTGATGCCCAAAATGTAGCTCAGGGTTTTTCAACCTCAGTGACTTTAAGATGGTGGTCCTCAACTCCCAGAATTCCCCAGCCAGCATGCTTTCTTGACTGGCTGATCTTCCCCCCAGGAACATCTCGGCAGCTCCATATCCAGTAGAAACCGCAGAGCTCTCTTTCAGACAACAGAGTTGAGTAACGCACCTTTTGGGGGTGTCCAGTGATGGGTGCCGTAGGAGGTTTGCAGAAGGAGGTACTCAATGCGTCCATCCGTAGCTGCCGTAGCGCGTGCCTTGGGTAACCTTCTGAAGATAATCAAGCCACAGGCTCTTAAGCTCATGATGCTCTTACCCAAAAGGAACACAAAGGGGCAGTGTTAGCAAACGGCAAGCTCTGAGATGGGGGCGCGGCAGGTCACCCCACAGCCTGGGTGCAATTAAAGGCAAGAAGGCAGCATTCACCAAAGACGTTTCACAAGTCTTAGCACTGATGATGTAGCCTAGGTGGGTAATGAAATGTCTGCAAGAAAACTATCAAGCTCAGGAAAAACACAAAGGACCCCACGGTCTTCTCCTCCTTACAAACCCTACTCCCTTCTACCACTGATGATACTATCTAGTTAAATAGTGAAATGTGTGCAAGAAAACTACCAAATTCAGGGACCACCAAGGACTTTACAGTTCAAATGTAGCTACAGATATTCACGTCTCCCCCTGTCCCCCGCCCCAAGTTTTATTAGATTTTTATTTTTAAGTAAACATCAATATCACTAGATGAACAGTGTGGTCCCTGGGTATAATTCATTTTGATACAGACATCAATAATGCTATTCATAATAGTTGTTATATTAATCAAACCAAGTATCAATATACATGTTTTTTTTCTTTAAAGTAGCTATTCAATATTTCAATATTCCATTTTTGATGCCAACGATATTACAAGCACGCATGGTAATACCATCTTCCAACTTCTAATCTTTTCCACCAAATTATTACTTATATTTTCTTATTTAAATATTCACTTCTATTGGTATCTAGCTACCTATCGGTTTGTCTGTCTGTCTATATAATTAATACTAGATCAACAATCAAGCAGAAAAAAAAATACCCTAGTCAAGGAATTACCAAGAACAGTCCCACCAACACTAACATAAGTTACTGTTACATAAAGAG